CGTTATGCGTTTTCAAATATATATGTCATGTACAATATTGTTTTTTCCTCCTCCGCTAAAGCATACTCAAAACATTTGGTGTATACAACAATTTTGCTTATGATGTCCCTCTGTGTAAAATTGTTTGATCAAAGAAAGGCACTAGAAAACAACACTCCATCACTTGTTTTTCAAAGTGATCGCTTCGCGCGTTTTCATAATCCCAAGATTTATGTTTTACGCGAGCAATGCAGGCTTTTAGAGTCTGGACAAGGAAGAAAGAAAAATCAGAATGCATGAATTCGTTCTATTTGGCATTTTACTATTCAGTGTGCTAAGTTTTATGACTATCTCGATATCGAAACTTTTTCAACTTCTCACTTTACTCATAATGTGTTTCCAAATATATTTGTCATGTAAAATATTGTTTCTACCTCTTCCGCTAAAGCATATTGAAAACGTTTGGAATATAAAACGATTTTGCTTATGATCTCTCTTTCTCCCCGCCTCCGTCCCTACCCCGCATGTTTTTGTTTTTGGATGTGTTTTTTCTTGGTTTTGTTTTCATATTTGTTTCTTTCGTTTCTCTTTTTTTTTCCCTTTTGACTGTCACATGTCAGGAAAGGTGGCGCCCGACCTTCAAGCACCAACCGGGCCTTCCCTTGGCCTACACCCACCGGTATCGCTGCGTTAACGGGGCAGGCCGACGGCCGATGTATGGGCGAAGTATTGGCCGGGGTTAAGCGACCGCCCTCTTATTAGGGCACACTCACACTGAGGTACCAAATCCACATAATCCCCCAAATCCTAGAAAATAGTGTCAAGGGATAGTCACGCCGAGATCTCACGTCCCCAAACTACTTATTCGTCACTCCATTTATCAGCAGCCTGAGGGGCCACGGGGGTTGGGTCCTCTCACAAATTCTCATTCTTGTTTGGAATCAACGGAAAGAAATTAAAAGACAAAGATATTGCCAGGACATGCGATCTCAGTGTTACTGGAACAGTCGAAGAGGACCCGAAATCCAGATGGCCGCAAGGTTCTGTAGCGCAATGGGGAAGCAGTGCGTTATACCTCTTTGCTGATTGTCACTCGTTTCATTTCTCGCATTTTTTTCCTTCTCTTCCACACTTTCAAAAGTGGGCTGCGACGCTGTTAGGAAAAAAGGTACCAACTGTCGAAAAAGCGTTGTAACCGGTTTTCAAAAGTGGGCTTCGACACTGTTAGAAGCTCTTGCACGGCTGCAGCGACAAAGCAATGTCTAAGGCTACCTTGTTCCCCCGAACATAACACATATGCGTTGTATTCAAGTTTTCTATTCAAGTTTTCTGAAAGCTGCTACCTTTTTTTCAAATATAAGGGCACTTCTAATACAACCCATATGCTTTGCATTCCTATAAGACGCATACCCATTCCAATATCAGAAATTACTTTTTTATTTTTTTTCCTTTCTTTTTGAGGTCAGCGCACATGCATTCTCTCTCTCTCTCTCTCTCCGTGCTTGACCTGTGACCTCGGTCCAGACTGTGCGCAAAACCGGAGTGAATCTCTCAAAACAACATGAAAAGACACCGCCATGATTTTTTCTTTTGTGCATGCCGAGAGTATAGAGCGAGGCCCCTGTGCTCTTATTGCTTGTCTGCCGTTGACTAACAAAAACAGCCAAGAAGGGGGCAGCGGGGGCAGCGGGAAGCCAGGGAGCAGCGGTAAGAATTGACGGACGCGCCCGACTATGCCCCGGCGTTGTAGTGTTTCATGTTCTACCGGAAGATTCATTCTCATTTTGCATATGGTGAGGATGGATGGGAGTCCTCAAATGGCCAAAATGGGGATCAACCTTCGACCAGGACATGGAGAAATACAACTCATTTCAATTGCGCCTACTCAACCTGACCGGGCCACTTGCTGTCCAAGAAGTTGCACAGCCCTCCAATACAACGCATATGCAGATTAGACAAATAAAACGCAATGTGTGTTGTAGTCGTTTACAACGCATGTGCGTTGTATTGGAGGGAAGAATCTGGCCTACCTTGACAACAAATTCCACTCTAGCAAATGGCATGCATCATCCTGACAGCGCTCTATCAAATGACATCGACCATCCAGACAGTGTCGTAGCAAGCACTCCAAGTATTCCCTCAGGTCAGTGTAACTGTATTCCCTCGTGCAAACGCTCTAGCTGTTGCTAATTGCTTCTGCAATCGTCCGCAGAGAGTTAGAGCGAGGCTACTTCCGTCGATGGAGGAGTCATACACACTAGCCAACCGGTGAGCTCGCAGCTTCCCAATCTGCGTTTTCCCCATCAGCCGTGCATGCACATTTAACAAACAAAGGCACATGCAAGGAAATGAGAAGGGGTGAGAGTTTTTCGATGTCGAGTAGGATGACGAGTAAGTCATTACACGTTTATATACGTCGTAGGAAATGAAGGATAGGGAAACATCGACACTCTTTAGGAGCTAAGTGTTGGATTGGTTGCTTCCGACGACTTAGTTGCATCACCATCTTACGCCACTTGCTTAGGTAATCGGAGACGTGAACAGGCGGAGGCCGAACGCTCTGCCAATGTCATCGTTGACACTTGTTCCTCAATATTCAACGGTGTGATAGGAGAAACTATCACGGTACCATGAGTCCGGGCTGGTCCTCAATATTCACCGCTGTTCATACCCACTCGCAAGCTGATATGCCGGAAGTGGTGATGCTCTACCCCGTGTGGCAACGGGTTTATGGTCGGAAAGGACGGACGGCCAGTCAGCTTAGTAGTTCAATCCGACTTTTGATTACATTACTACCGCAATCGAAACACTGGAGATAGTGCAGAGAACGAATTTTAACATCTCAGAGCTGTGGATCTCGGAAGTCGTATGGGCTAAACTGGTCACACGTACTAACTACGCTGAGATGGATGGATGCTGGGGTCACTGTACACACCTTTTCGACTGCAACTTTGAAAGAATGAGCTAAAAGTTTAGCAGAATCTTCGTCGACACCATCAGTACGTAGGACTGCCTTTCGCGCTAGTGCAATAATTGACCCATCATCTGACCACCAGATAGCTAATGACATCGGTGCCAGATAATTCCACCATCGATGTCGAATATCTAATTTATTTTTGTCATGTGTTATTTTATGAACTTCTGTTCGTTCAGAGAGTGCACGGCTCGCAATAACAAGTCCGTAGTTTGACCACAACCGCTTTTTCTCAAAGTTTTTCCAGAAGGTACCCAAGGTGATACTTCTTGAAGTGCACTATAGCCCAATGCCAATTATTAACGGAAGAACGCCTAGCCAATGATACTTCTTGAGGTGACAACGATGTCCACTCAGTAGGTTACCGTTCGCCGACGAGAGACGCCAACAAGTCGGAGCTCTTCCGGAATACTACCTAACCAAGATGAGGGTAGTACTAAACAACATCAGGGAAAATCTGCCATCAGGGAAAATCTGCCATCAGGGAACATCTGCCATCAGCGTTGCAGGCTTGCTCGGGAGACGACCTTTCTGAGACGTCTGAAATCAATGTCGAATCCCTAACAGCGTTGCAAGCTTGCTTGGATGAAATGGTACAAGCTATCAGAGGCTGCTATCAATTGGCATAAGTCAGCATCCCTATTTACCGACACATAAGCAATCAGTGAAATAGGGGATGAGACGGATTAGAACAAGACAGATAAGAACGCCTCCTACCTTCACCAGAATTCAACGTACGGTCATTATCACTGTATTTGGGGTATCTTTCTGACTAAATACAGCAATAATGACCGTACATTTATTCGGGTGAAGAAGGTAGGGGAGCAAATCTTCCTCTTGGACTGTGCGACTGCAAAGGACGACCTCCACCACACCTCACTGTTTGAAAACGTCGATTGGAAATTGAAGTGCGTGGCGCCCTCGTCACCCTATTACGGTTCGTTTGGGCGCCCTCTTGACCCTATTACGAGCAGCGAGATTTATGCCATTCACGGGCAACCAAGACTCTTTCATTTCATGAAGTGGCGTTGGGGATGTTATGCCTCCCCCAAAAGGAGAGTACTGGGATGCATGGACCGCGAATGAAATCTGCCTCGTGTGAAAGAAGTGTGGGAGGATCTGTTCCTAGTTGGTTTCTCCCTCTGAAGATGAGCTAAGCGGCTGATGCTGTCTACAATTTCCGGGTTGAATTATGATGTCCCCATCCTCTTCTTTTTTCGGCATAATGAGAAGCACTACGAGGGGCGCCCCGTATTCGCTATACACAACTCCTCACAACGTGCCAGACAACGACATCCACCGACTCATCACAAGGTCGAACCTCGACTGTCTGCACAGGACGTACTTTACTAATGCGAAGGACCCCTGATAGAAGGGGTCGACTTTACTCAGACCAATCCACGCCACAACTCCTAACGGGAATGGCACGCCTGAAGAAATACGCGCGTGTGCATTATTGTGCTGTTCGCTATACGCCGCTCCACTAAAAAGAACATGACCATCATCGATTTTCGTCGGACTTCACCCACTGCGTCACAGGTGTGTATTTGTACGTGTGAGTGTGATGGATGTGCGCGTGTGCGGGACGAGTCCCTGTTTGGAGACATGCGCGGGTGGCCTCTTGTGTCTGTTCAAATACCTCGATACTCGCTCCTATTTCATCCATTAACCATCACACCCCGTCTGACGACGACAAAAAAATATATTTAGGGAAAAATCATACACAGGGAACATAGTAAAATGTGTTCGCCAATTCTCGCGCCGAATCGGCACACTTGCAGACATACATTTCTTACTCTATAATGAGAGGATGGAGGGCAAAACGCATACTGAACAAGCGCCAATAACACAACAAAACAAAACCACTTAACAAAACACCACAACACAGAACTCCACTAGCAAAAAAGTGGCAACCACGCCCGCAATCGGTCTCAAAACGACTTGGAGAGCCCACAGACCCACCATAAATCAAACAAACATCACTACTCTCCACTCACCACCCACAGGTTTCAGGCGGTGCATTTTTCCATGTTCTAGCGGAGGATTCACTCTCGTTTTGCACATTTAGAAAGTCGTGGAGCGAGGCCCCCGATCTCTACTCTACACCAAGTGTGCTGTGAACCTCCCCCTGCCGAGTCATATGACCTCGCAGTGCTACAGCGACATCACTGCGCGAACTACGCCAAAACCCCAAAAAAACACCGAAAAAACCTCGTGGCCACTCACATTACCGTTTTTTCATCAACGACAAACCCCATGGTCCACAATGGCAAAGAATTAAGCCATTTGTAATACAAAAGACCAACACAAAATGAGGGTTTCCTAGTGTGCGTACGAGAGGGGAACACTCACATTACGGCAACGACGTTTAATGCACGTCGTCCTACTAGGAACACTCGATCGCGAAGATAGGACCATGGGAGGACTATTAGCTTGCCCTTTTTATTTATGTTGGACAATGCCAGGATCATTAGCTTGCCCCTTTTGTTCATGTTCTGTGCCGACAGTAGAGTATGGTATGCAAAGGAGCTTCGTCATACCTCCTAGCCTCGCTGCAATGGGTGAATGCCATTTTTTCTTCCCTGCAAGCGCTGGAGGACCTGAAGCCTAGCTAACTATCCAATGCTTTCACACCTTTCAGTTCTTTTTCTTCTTGCGGGGCACTTTGTTCCAGGTGATGTGCAGTATGGACGATTGCAGACACTGATCCGGCGGGCATCGCTCTATCTGGCCGCTCCGCTTCCCAACGCACGTATTCTCATAACACGACACTTCTAATGCTTTGCTTTTCCTTCCTCCGCCACCTTCATCCATTGCCGGTTTACATCTGCTGCTCACATGTGCAGTTCCTCCGATCGTTCTTCCCATTCATGAGGTCACGTGGCTTTTTAGAAAGGAATTTCAGTATCTGATACTTCGCAACAAGAGGTGGGCAACAATCACACTGCCGACCGGCTTCGCTCTCTTTCTCCCCATGTATCTCGCGTTTCCTTTATCGGTATTTCTGTTTGCCGTGTTTAGAATTGTTTGCTGGCACATGACTCTCACTGTCTCTATTTTCCTTCCTCTCTCATGTTTGCCCTACACGACTCCACAGCAAGAGCATGACTGTGCCAGACTGTTTCGTCAAACTTCCACCGGCTCCCTCATGAACAAGGACTCGCCACGTCGCCCAGACCTAGCGATAGCACTGAGACAAGTGGTCGACTTCACTCACACCAACCCTGCAAGCCGTGTCTCTCACTACTCTGCGTGTGCACATGCGTGTGTTTATTTCATGGGATAAGAAGAGAGGAGCCCAGAGACAAGACGGAGATGCACAGGAACACAAACATCAAGCGACGAAAACAAAACAGTAAACTCAGATATTTCATGCACACAAACATACAAACCCATCGTGTTCCCTGTTACCTTTCTGGGTTCTGGATTCCCTCACAATTCTCAACTGCACATCCTCCACTCCACATTTCCACACAATCCCCATCTGACTAAGTGATCCTCTGCCACAGTTCAGAGTTCACATTCAGTGAGTTCAATGATGGAAGCTCAGTCGAACCAGACTCGGTACATGATCACAAATCCAGAAAACTCGACCTCAAGCTCACCAGGCATACTCGGTATTCACCCACATTTGAGAAAACGCCCAAGTCCGCACCCAGATGAATTTAGGCTCCAATAGACCACTATCGAGCAAAAATTTTACATTCAGTAGCAACCGTCCTCACGATCTACTTAAAATGCACAAACATAAAGCCTCCAATCGTTCCAGCCGAACTACACATCGAAATTTAGTTCGAAGGGACAGCGGCGTCGATGAAAAGCTCATTCGGATGTCGCTTGTGCAGGCAACCGTGGTTGGTCAGGACCTGCACACAACCAGCACAACAATATCCGGATCCACAAAACACAGAGAAAATGTCAGTATTCTCTTCCTTCAACCAACAAACCCGGATTATTCTTTTACAGTTCCGCTAAAAGAAAAATCCGAACAACCTGAGGTGAGATTACGTGCTCAAAGAACTAACGGAAATTTGAAAAAAAACTCCCGAACTACCTACCGTGCTCAGAGAACTAAATAAATATTTCAGCCAATCGCAGCGCACGAATACAACCAACAAACACAACACATCATTCAAGCGCTAGGCAAGGAGAGTGGACCGGGTCCATTTGCCCGGCCATACCAAAAACAAATAACAAAACAAAAAAAATGTGCCCCTGGGGCAAATTTTGTTCACTTTCTTTTTCTGCATCACATAGTTTTTTTTCGGATTTTTCGGATCTCTTCCTTTTGTTTGTTTTTTTGGCAGGGACCAACGCGGCCCGGCTGTAGCCTTGTTCAAATCTCAATAAGATAGAATTTTTCAAAATGGAAACGCATTTCTATGCGCATTAACACATGAAGTCGTTGCGCTTTCGAAATCGACCATAACTGTGGATAACTTCTACACACTCTTACCCTTCGATGGGTGCTTTACACAACCAGCAATGCACTCAACTTCACTATTTTTAGGCAAGATAAACCCCACTTGGGGAGGACCACGCTTGCGATTTCAGCACGCCACTTACCTTGGCGTTCACTCCGTCGTTCTTGATTCTCTTCTCCTCCTTCCATTTCAAGTAGTTCTCCCTGGTGATGTTTGTAAAACCCCTGTTATCCACATGAATCGGGGAACGACAGCAAGGCATAAGAACGTCAGCGAAACACAGGAGGCATACGGATAACAACAAACCAAACGTCAACACGCAACTTCCCATAGCCATCGTCCTTTCATAATTCAAAACTCTTTTCTATAACACATCAGATAACTAAGACCGGGTGCCTCGTTCTCCAGACCATCGAGGGCATCGATAAGAAAGCAAAATCAACAGAAACGCCTTCTAAAGCCTCACGATTCAGTTATAGTGAGCCGAAAAGTCCAACCGAAGGACAAGCACTGTTAAAATAACCATGGTCAGCCATAGGTCAGGCCGCATGATATGGTACACTCTCTTGCGAGAATCGTTTCCATATCACACAACCAGGCCGCGATCCTTCGATACATTCGGATTTTTCTCGTCTAACAAAAGCACAATCGACACAAGACATAATCACTCGTCAGAATACGCCGCGAAAGAGACGTAACAGAGCTTATCATGGCATGGTGAGCGCTTTCAAAATCTAAAACCCGCACACAACATGTTACGCATCGTTTAATGCCGTAATAACTGCGACTGACACAGAAAATGGCTTCTATACACTCCGATAAGGGTGCATCCTCATTACGCCTACACCGGACGCGAAAAATGGTTTGAATACATTCAGAATCGGGGTGCGTCTGACGTGTTCAACGCACCTGATCGCGGTAGGGGATCGACCCGCCCAAACACAACGCACATTGATTACGACTGTACCGGAGCCAAAAAATGGCTTGCATACATTCAGAAGCAGGGTGCGTTGTGTTCAACGCACCCCGATAGCGGTAGGGGATCGAATCGTCAGCCAAGCTAAACAACAACTTACCACTTCTTGCTCACGATGATTCTCTGGCGTCCGGGAAACTTGAATTTGGCACGTCGAAGAGCTTCCTGTGCCTGAAAATCACCAAGGAACAACCCACCAATAAATCAAAACATGACCTGTGGTCCTGATTGGACTCAGCAGACGAGACACGTACGTACCTCGACCGTCCTCAAGAATAACACAAAAACAACGAGCTTCTGCATGAAATACAACGAAGACAAAATTGCCCAAAACCCCACTTTACAATTCACTCACGGATCATACTACGATTTTGAAGGCCATAGCCTGATGACATGAGAGCACAAGGAAAAACATACTTGGGCGACATGATTACTCTGCAAACGTTAAGGCAGCACACTTTGTGCGTTCGCTACCCCTCACGAAAAGCTGTGGACGCGAAATATCCTAGCAGCAGGTATTGATGACAACACAATAAACAGCCAATTAAAACTGTCGTGTTTGGAAATTTTCACGCAGTCAAAAAAAAGAGGCAGAGACTTACATGCACACCGCTGCAAACTAAGACTGCGAGAAAATGGCACAGAAAATAATCCTGTCAAGTTCGGAAATTTCAAGCAGTCAAAAAGGCAGATACTTACATGCACACCGTTGTTATCCTTACAACGCACAGACAGGAGAACCTGGCCGATAGCCACACGGGCACAAGTACCCTGGGGTTTTCCAAAAGCGCCACGCATTCCGGTCTGGAGCCTATCAGCCCCGGCGCACGAAAGCATCTTGTTGATTCTCAGCACATGGAAAGGATGGACACGCACGCGCAGATGGAAGGCGTCCTTGCCAGCGAACTTCGCCATGTACTTGTTACAAGCGATACGCGCAGCTTCGAGGGCCTCGCTCGACACATTTTCTTTCTCCCAGCTGAACACAGACAACCATATTCACGACAATTCCACCGGTTTCAGTTAGCAAAAAACAAACGTAGGTATGACATCCAGTCCAAACCGGTGAGGCGGGCGGAAGCGGCCTTGGAAAGGGAGCGGAGGGACGATTAATGACTGACCGCGCCCGTTTCGGCAACGACGGAAAATGTCCGATGAGAATCATCGAAAGGGGCACTTTTTCAGGGCCACAAGGGCAAACCAGGTCTTTTCTAGGCATATTATAATTTATATTTTCAACTTTTCCCTTCTCTCCCTTTTTGTTTCAAGAATGTAAGCCCTCCGATTCCATCAGGATTTTTAACTGACAGGAATTCGATGCGTCTCCAAGTCCTATACCCATTTGGGCATCTATCTTAAAAGTTCATGCCCGCAATTTCGTCGCTTTTGGCAGCGATATCATCATGTCCTACCGTATAGCCGCCAGTAGAACCTGACAATTTTGGTCCACAAAAAAGCTGAAATTGCCCCAGGAACGTCTACGTTAAATGCCCAAAGGTGTAATATAGCTGAACGATTCTGTAACACGCCTTCCCTGTCCTATACTGCATCGCCTCCGCTCTCTCATAATGGAATTCGCTACCCACTTGCAGACATTCAGATCACTCCATTCCTATCATTATTAGGAGGACTGATCGGATTATCCATAACACCATTCCCGGATAGTGTTCCTTCTCCCCAATCCTGACAAGAACAGTGACTGTCGGGAAGCAAGACTTAAATAAAAAACGACAAACGCACTTAAAGTTGGAGCCGAGCAGACCAACGAATGCTGGCGTATATCAACATCGAGAACACCGGCCAGAAACTTATCACGTTCCTGAATTATGCTAACAGAAAAATTATCTGTGAAATTAAGGGTCATCAAACTCTGCGAGATTTCCGTTCGGCTCTATCGAGGAAAGACATCGTCACTCCACAAAGGGAGTAAAAAAAAATCAGGTCCATGATCTGCAAAGGTTTAGGTTTGAACATCCATGGAGGTTAGCTTCTCCTTTAAAACAACAACGGTTTTCCATGAAGCAATAGTTTCAAGGACGGTAAACTCAATGGAATGTTTGCTGTAGAGTTTCAAAACCTCTTACAGAGATCCGTAACCCTAAAAAGTCAAAATCTATTATTCGCGTAACCCTAAATTCGGCCATCATTAGGTCAGATTGACGCAAATCGGCCGGTAATTCTTAAAGGCCAAATAGGTCATATATCTCGGGGGCGAGAAAGCACAAGAAAGAAAGAGCAAGAAGGAGAGGAAGCACTGCTATTAAACAATAGGATCGAAACAGAGTTACAGAGAGCTGACGTATGCTCACCTGACCAAGTGCACACAGTAGGGAAACTCATCGACGCCCTTCTTCTTCATGCCAACATCGAAGATACGAATCTTCGGATCTGTTCCCGCAGACAACGATAAACACCACCTCGTAAGTCACAGCACAGCGTCAATCAACTTCCCACCCATAAACATCTCTCGGTTCAAACACGCTCACACACAGTTCCATTTCCTATTTCCAGCCACGTTAGTTACTGACAGATTTTCTCATATGATGCCAAGTTACTTCTCTAACGCCCACTTCAGGCTAATGTATTTTGGCACACACGATGAGTGGGACGAATGACCGGAGAGAACTTGCATACTGATAGATCACGCGTTCTCCACGGACTAAAAACTTCACACTTACAGAAACACAATTCAATCCACATAATAATTCGCGCACAGTAACATCAAGCCATGGAAAAAGCGTTCCCTTCCCTCCCTCCCTTCGAAGGATCTGCATACATCATGGCCCCGATCGCCGATGATTACGACCAAGACCCAACAAGATGATACCACGTCAAGAAGTCGACGTAAAGGTTGACGCCCACCAAGATTCTCCGACGTTCACAGAGAACAACCGTCTTGCCGATACGATGGGGAAAACGACCTCCACCGGCCTCCTGTTCCCCCCACTACTTCGCTCTGTAAACCATTCCCCTCTCCTGATTTGCAGGATTCCCCCGACTCGCCGTCTGCTACTCAACACCTCGCCTCCCCTCCTGAAGTTACTCCCACATGGAGTTCAGAAACGTAGACCACCATATCACGTCGAGTACAGAAAAGTTCCCCTCTCCTGATTTGCAGGATGCCCCCGACTTCCCCTCTGCTTTAACTAACTTTGGAGTTCATGCCACCACATAACCTGCAGCGCGCTCAGGAGATATTCCCAAGACTTCATGATCGATCAATTCGGGCCAAGCACCAGCCACAAGACATCCGGAGACGAACAAAGCGATCACTCACTTCTTGTAGACAGTCTACGCAACATAACCACCCATCAAACGGAAAAACCGTCGTACAACCAACAAGCGTGACCATAAAATGCGGATTCGGTGGAAGACAAACATAACGAAAACAATACTTACCCGGCACACCACGGCAGTAGCGAGACTTGGGATATGGCTTGTTCTTGATCTGGCGATAGCTGCGCAGGGACAAGACAAAACCCCACCGGGGCGAGAATTTCAGCACCATCGAATGAAACATGAAAAGTCCATCATTACTTTGTACTGACAAGTGTCCTCTGCCAGGCGCATCGTCATCACTCGTATGCACGGATTAATCGTCATGGACCATCAGACGCCCATCAGTAATTACTTATCGATGCCAAGAATACCATCAAACACGACTAGGTAATCAAATACGACTTCGGTACGGCAGGTCAGAACGATTCCCACAACCCTTCTCGCCTAATCTCCATCCCACAACCCTCTTTACCCACCTTCGGCTTCAAAAATTCCATCGACGTCAATCAATTCATTTCCACTTCCTTCCACCCATAATTCTCATTGCGCGCCAATCGTTTCTCTCATGTTAGAAAAGATCCATTCGGCCGAAATAAATTCCACGAAAATCCGCGACTTCGTCACCCCTTACCGAACAACCTGCTCATTATTCCACTCTGCCACTCAGTATCGACCAATCTCTCTTTCTCTCTCTCCCCCTCTCTCTCTCCCCTATTGTGAAAACGTATATACACCCAGGACAAACTAAGCTGCATCTGGACGTGCAATCGGCGATACAGTCCGGTCATAAGCCCGAATAAATGAATGCCCTAACTACATCCAAACACAACCGATTAATCTGAGCCTAAAGAGAGCCTTGTAGGACGACAAGGATCAGTACATACTGCGCCTAAACGATACTTACCATCGTGCAGGACCTGTCCATATTGCGCGTTCCGTCGTCCAGCGATTTTCCCGTTACGCCCGGCAAAACATATCAGCACCACATACACAAGCAGCCGACAAGAGAGAGAAGTTAGGATACAAAGGAGCTTTAAATGGGCAAAGGGGAGTGAGGGGAGGGGGATGGATAACGACAAATGAAAGTCCACATCAATAAGGAAACAACAGATCAGCATGCATTACACACAATAACAGCAGCACATTGAGAAGGCGATGGCGATGGAGGACCGCGTCTAAGGAGTGATGGAGTTTTCAAATGGAATTCGCGAGAACGCAACGAGAAGACCTGACTGCAAAAATTATGAAAGAAAGATCAGCCGATAGACGAGGAAGAACGCGCAATGGAGACGATGAAGGACGGAACACTTACGGCGCCCCATTTTGCTTGACCTGGTCTCCCGCCCACAGCGTCGAGAATGCGGCTATGGCTGCCTGGGAATGGCGCTATGACTCACTACCGAAAAGGAACTAGAAATGAAAGCATGGTAAACAAATGCGTAAAGAGCCACGCACGCCTCAGGACCGCGTCTAATCGAAACCGTCGGATTCACACATGAATATCGAGGGTGCTCAACAAATGGACTCATCGCGAGGGCGCGGGAGCGCAGCCCGTAAGTATGTCCGCCCAAACGGTGGGGGCGGAGAAACGGCCAGGAGCCAGAGGGGTAGGGGGGGGGGTAAGGCCGGGACAGGCCGCAGGGATAGACCAGGGCGGCCAGGGAAGGCCCGTTGTTGCGTACCGGTAGTACCACGCGGCCAGGTTTTGCCCAGTTGGTAACCAGACGGCCCTTCCCAGCGTCGGACGTAGGCTGGGTGCAGCTTCGGCTGGGGTGCAAATTGGGAACGCACCCCGGCCACCCTTCAGAGAGGCTGAAACGGCAGTAACCGTTCCAAGAAACAGCCCTGTCACCATTCGAATACGACATGCGACTCTGGTGTTCAGGAGCAGCCCGTTTCAGGCATCAAGACAAGACTGCAATCCCTTTCCTTTTGGCCATCACGCCGGCTAGCCAGGAACCAGGCGTCACAACAACGCTATTTCTCTCTCTCTCTCTCTCTCTCTCTCTCTCTCTCTCTCTCTCTCTCTCTCTCTCTCTCTCTCTC